GCATTGCGGTCACAATTTTTAGAGGGGAACAAGCAGTTGTATTTGACACGCACGTATTTACAAATATTACTATGAGGTGTCACAGTGCGTGTGACACACGAACCAATCACAGAGCTCTATTCAACGCTGTGCGTTCGATTTGCTGCTTCACTAAAGCAAGCATCGTTTGTGAATACGGGTGTTATTATCTTACTCTGTGTGTATGTCTCGCTTCTCGTACCATCGTTTCAAATAAAAATTATTCTATATTCTTCAATTGTAACTAAACTTTTCATTTTTAGATGACAATAAATTGCTATACAACAATACTTATTACATGTCTTTCATTTCAAATTACTTTTTGTAGATCCTAGGTTAAGTATTTACAATTTTGTGTTTCTTATACATTCAATTATTGTTCTCAGTATTAAAACTGGTTCTTTTTAATTTCCAGACATTGTCTACGAAGTCGTGCGTTCACGGAAGGGGAAAGATCTTCTCCTAATAGACGGGTATACCTTCAGCAAGACATCAGGGAGCAAACACACTTGGGTGTGTTCGGCGAAGGTTCCCGACTGCAAGGCGAGGGTGCGCTTGGAATACGGCGAGCTGACCTTCGTCGACAACAACCATAACCACAAACCGTGCAGAAAATACGCTCGCATAGAGGAGGACATTATAGGTAACTATTATACAACTTGTTTTCCATNCTTTTCTTGTTTTACTAGACACTGTTGATTCATGCTGTCCTGGATTCGACTACCAACACAATAATAAACATGTAGATAATTACCTTTAAAACCATGAAGTATTTGCCACACTGTATGCGATGCGGTCTGCGGTCAGGCCAAATCAAAAAATCAAAATCAAAAATATTTATTCAGTTTAGACCACAAGTGGTACTTATGAACGTTAAAATATAGTAAATAATAAAAAAAAAAAGGAAAAAATGAACGTAGCCCGCATCACGTATGTATGTGCAACATTGTCAATTTCTATACATTTTGTATTGATGTGATCTGACAGTTCGAGCACGAGCAAAGAACGCAAACTGACAAGTGCAGGCTCATTTGACCTGTCCACAGACCGCAGAACACATCCAGTATAACAAATTGTAACAAATCCTTCACAACCATGTTTTTACAGACGTTCCCTACGAGATGGTGAAGTCGCTGAGAGGCAAGGACCTAATCCTCATAGAGGGCTACACCTTCAGCCGTACCAGCAACCATGCGATCAACCACAACTGGGTGTGCTCTGCGAAAGTTCCCGATTGCAAAGCAAGACTCCGCATACGCGACGGCGCCATCACTTTCTTAGTCAATGATCACAACCATCCACCAAAACCACGACCAACTAAATCACGGTCAAAAGATGATAAGTTCAAACACATCAAAATCGAATTCAATCGTGGTTTCTTGAGTGAAAAAGATAAAGAGGAAGAGAGCGACTGAGCGACTGACTGCCACACACACATTATAAAACGCGCTGCTGTCGCGCGTTAGTCAGTGACCAACATACACGGACCGCTCTTGCAGTCAAGAGTCAACAGCTTGAAGCTGCCAGCGATAACTGCTCGAGCAGTTGGTATTAACTGCTCAACAAATCACAAACGCGCGCCGTGGAATGAAGAAAGTGGGCGGAGGTAACTGCGCGACAGCTGTCGACAGCTCGAGCAGTCAGTGTATGGCTGGCGACTGCTTGACCGCACGATGAAAATTCAACGTGCTGTCGACCGCCCGAATTAGTTGCAAGTGTTGCAACTGCTCGAGCGGTTCGTGTATGTGCGTCCATAGAACTCTGCAGTTCACTGTGCAGTCGCAGCTTGAAGGTGTCGACCCTGACTGCTTCAAGCGGTCCGTGTATTAGGCCGGCACTAAGGGTGAGTATAGACTACATCATTTTCTTGAGCATTTCTATGTAATGTAACGTTCTTACCAACGGTACATTACAGGTGAAATGTACGACGTTTAGTTCGTGAAAGCGTTATACAATAGAACATTATTTTATAGCGGCTCTAGTCTATGCTCACCTTGACGATCTATTGTAAAAGCGGTCTAAGGGTTTATATTAAGGTTAATTCATAGTGCTATTTTTTGTCTGTGTACTTAATACTTATTAATGTGGAAATATTTTTTTAATTTGATTTGATTTTGAATAAATAAATAAAATAAGTGTGTATTCCTCAGTATTTTATTTGTATTGTACCTCCAGTTTCAGAGCTATACGAAAGTTAACGATTGATTTAACGAAGAACGAAGAGTTGTACCTACTATTCGTCATAACTAAATCTAAAAAAATAAAGTTGTTTTTTTAAATTCCTTAAATAATATTGTTACTGTCTTATAGCTTCATATCTACGTTTGTCGCGCAACGTCTCTTAGGCCGGTTTCCTACTTGTCCAAATCCGTCCTTCAAAACTGTAAATTTCAATCAGTTTTCGATCATATCCATAATTTTTTATCCTCCATCGACCAAAAACATATTGAAATTTAACAGCTGACGGATAGATTTGGAGAAAGATTGATTTATAGAAAACCGGCATTAGTAAACAGAAAAACTGGTGTCAGATTAAATTGTCTAATGTTTATTTATTGGTCCATCTCAATACTTGCATGTTCTGTTAAATAGTTTGGAGTTTATTGAAATCATCTTTGCCTAGTTATTTAATTTTTAGCTTTAAGAGTTGCATCTCAAACTAATCTTTGCCTGTTTCGACACTATCCTCAATGGCATTTGTTGTAATAATTAAAATTTTTAGGTTACAGTTTCATTCGTGGGGACAACGCGCGTTCCAAAAACGATATGCTCCTATACCAAGGATATACCTTCTCCCAACAGCACAGCAAGAGGCACTGGTACTGCTCCAAGAAGAAGACCGGGTGTAAGGCTAGAGTTCGAATGTCTGACAGTGAAATCATCTTTAGTTATAATATCCATACACACCCTCCCCCAAAACTCTGCTTCTATTGAACTGCTTTATTATACTGGTGATTGTCTTCTCAACTCGTCTGGCCAACGTGAGGAGTGTAAGCCAAATCCTCCATTTCATCATCATCATCCAAGCCATAGGACGTCCACTGCTGAACATAGGCCTCCCCCAATGCTTTCCATGTTGCCCGGTTGGTAGCGGCCTGCGTCAAGCGCCTTCCTGCTACCTTTACGATGTCGCCGATCCACCTTGTGTGTGGATGTCCCAGGCTGCGTTTTCCGATCCGATGATTTAAAGTGTTTTTCATTAAGGACGGGTCGATTCTGATCTGACAGGCTGTGGTGGCCTGGTAGGTTCTATTTCTGTTTGTATTATCAATATTTTGTGGGTTCGAGGCCTGTCGGCCCGAGGTCGGATATATTCATGTGACATATTGTGGATGATGATGATAATGATAAATCGCTGGTTATTCGTATACTATAATGATCTAGGTATGGCAATTGTGACTGCCTTTATTATGTGAATACCATACACTTATCAGTATTAGTACTGCGTTATTATTGATAATATATATTTTTTAATAATTAATAATACTCGTAGTAAAAACCCCAATTCCTTATGAAACACTGTGATTAATTAAATGTTGTTTTCCTTAATGAAACAGTTGAACTACGAAATAATAGAAATGACTAGTCTAACGTTAAATAAGTATAATTTAAAAATAATCATTTAATAATTATGTATCTTTATTTAGTGTTTCTATTTATCTAATAAAATAAAGACTATTTTCTTTACACGATGTATGTATTTAAGAGATTACTTAAGTAAATACTAATATTAATTCCATTAATAAATAAATAAATAATATTAATATTAATTGATGTGATTGTATGCGATTCAATTCAAAATTACAATTCAACATGATTTTTTTTAAGACTTACATGTTTTAAGAACTTTGATTATGTCTATCTTGTTTACACTCTTGTATTTCCTCTATTTTTGTTCTTATTTATTATTATATTCATATTTACAAAATATTTTGTGTACAACCTAATAAATATGTATTCGGAAACAATCTTTACGGTGTATGTATGTATGTAAATATGTAAATTATGTGAATTAAATGCCTAATTTACTTTGTTACGAATTTTTAATTATTTTCATTAACAACTGCACCAACTGTGTAGATTAAAATTTTATCGTTCATTTGTTTTTTTTATTTGACATAAGTACCTACTGTTTGACTATTTTTAATTTTTGTTTTTGTTTTGTTATCGATAGTATATGTCGTCGACCGATTAAAGATAAGTCAGGAAACGAATTTGGCTTTAATTTTATGTTAAGTATATTAGGAACGGTTTGCAATGTTTATTAGTGCTGTTAAGCATTATTTTCTTTTCAGACGGCCTGGGCTTTATTACCATTGTAGGTGACCGGCGTCTCCTCATGGCCCATGGGTATACGTTCTCTCAAACGGCTCCACTGTACTGGTACTGCTCCAGGAAGAAGAAAGGCTGCAAGGCGAGGGTAGCCTTGACTCCAGATGAGAAAGAAGTGGCGTCTTGCGACTTAAGACATGACCATGATCCGCCTGTTTACGAACTCCTTGAAAATGGGCAGTATAAAAAGATTCGTAGTTAAGATGCGATGTATAGCTACTAGTACTACAGCACATCATGCTAAAGATGTGTCATTTTATTTCCTTGAGTAGTGGCTTCAAAAAAGTATTTTGTATTGTTTTTATAAAATAATTAGGTATTTATAAGCCGAAGTTAGGCTCTGGTTGTAAATCATGGTGTAGGTAGGTATGTGTAAATGAAATATTTCACTTTTTTTACGTATTTATTTGACATTCTGTTCGATTGTTTTTTTTTTACTTTTATTATTTTCTCTTTATTTACTTTACTTCTTAATTTTAAATATTTTTTTACAATGTAAATTATCAAAAAAATAAAATAAAAATACATTAAAAAAGACTTATTATTATTTTAGAATTGTTTTAAATTCGCAATATTTTTTTAATGCCGGTATTAAAAGTAAAGTAAAAAGTAAAGTAAAAAATGTTTTATTTGACAAACAGAGCAACATTACATATATTACAAAAAGAAGAAACATTGTGCCCTGCTGTCAAATAGGGGCCCGCTCAGCATTAATCGGGGCATGCCGTGGGCATGCCTCGACACCGATTTTCAGCGGGTCCCTTGACGTTGCTGCGCCCTACCGCCGAAGGAGAAGCACTCCGTAAAGTGCCTGTCTGTCGGCGGGAACCGCAATAAGGGGGCGGCGAAAATGTACACCCATAAAAAACAAACACAAAAATCAAATAAAAAATAATAAAAACAAAACAACAAATCAACAAAACCAACATTTATGCAATCCACGACAAATCAGGGTTTTTACATTAATGTTATCTACGGGTCGAAACCAAGTGGATTGTATTGGTATGAAGTTAATTACTTACTATTCGTTGCAGGTGGAGCGCGCGTCGGCCAAAAATTTCCAGGTAATTCTACATGTATTCAATATTACAGCTTTCTGCATTACGTGATAGGTGTTATTTTTTAATTTCAGAATGTCTAGGTTCTTTATTAAGGATTTGGGTATTACGCCTGTTGCCGATAATACTATGGGGATTATATGAACTGATTTTACTTTCCACTGTATTTTTAGTTGTAGTATGGCTAGATCTGTATACAGGGTGGAAACGATAAGTGATCTCACTCGATTATTTGTAAACTATACAAGATATCGAAAAACTGGTTACTGATCCTGAAAGTACTTGACGAGTTCTTTCAAACGGTACTAATAATAGGTTACAGAATAAACTGGAACTATCCGAAAATTCAATGTTTCCAGCTTCCATACATTTGGTAAAGTTACATAATATTAAAAACTAAACAAGATATCGCAAAACTAGTTACTAATCCTAAAAGTGCTTCACGAGCTCTATCCAACGGTATCAACAATAGCTTACAAAATAAATTGGATCTATCCAAAAATTCAATGTTTCCATCTTCCATACATTTAGTACTATCACAGTCATGGCACTCATCTCAAGAGATGATCTTGATAATATTATAGCAAGTAAAGCCTAAAACTTATGTTTTCCACAAATAATTTCAAACAAGATGCAAGTTACGAGTTTATTTAACCGACTTTTAAGTTTATTATTTAACAAAAAATAAATTACACTTCTAATTAGAGTTGCCACGAATAGTGATTTGGCCGAATACCGAATACCGAATATTCGGCAACGCTGTCGGCCGAAGCGCCGAATATTCGGTCGCCGAATATTCGGCACAAAGTACATGCTAGTCGAGCGCGTAAATAATAATACGACAGGTTGCGACCTGTCTCCATCGCGCGCGGGCGGTGTGAGGCTATTTGACTGTTTCATTCAATTGCGAGTAAATCACGTCACGGCACGCATTGTCAGATTAATACAAATTACTAATAAAACGTTACGATTTTGCTGAAAAGTTTGTTCGTTAGTTCTTTTTCAATTGTTTGTTCATTAAAAAATGACACCAATTACCTAATAAAAAATCGGCCATATGGGAATATTATGAGATTTGTAGTAAAAATAATAAACTGGCCAATTGTTTGCTGTGTAGTAGCTCTGAAACTAAGTTGTAATGATGATGATTCTAGTAGTACCGATGACGATTCTTCTCCACGTCGTAAGAGAAGAAACTTGAACGAAAATGGTAAGTCATTTGAAATACACGACTGAAAAGGGTCCTACTGGGAACTTAAATGAAAGAGTGGACTGTATTTCAATAGGGCTGGTTTAATAGCCGTTTACAATTAGGTTTAAGTATTAAACTACGACGTGGTGATACAAAATGGCGATCGCGAGTTGGAGGTCCGAACGAGTAGTACGTGCTATGTACGGCTGGGGGCCCAATCGAGTGTGTGGCGCGCTCGGCGGACGGCGCGCTGCTCGTGGTGGTGGGATTCCTCCCGCACGTCTCCTCCCGTGCGTCAAGACCGGTCCGCGACAACGACAGTTTCTGGAACTGCTTTGAGGAAATCGCTAAAGATAATATGCGAAATAGTACTGATGAGGAGAACGTGGAGAAGAATACTGTGGCAAATGAGATGTATTTTTATTTGAAATCAAATTGACTAGGTCGGAAAGCTGATCCTTACAAGTGGTGGTCAGCTAATGAAAAGCAATACCCAAGCTCTCGAAATTTCCTAAAGTTTATCTTTCTTATCCCGGTAGTAGCGTGTATAGTGAGAGGTTGTTTTCTGAAGCTGGTATCGTTATGATGAAAAGCGTAATCGTTTGCTACCGCCAAATGCTGAAAAGCTTGTTTTTATCCATCACAACTTACCGCTGATTAATTTTACTTATTAAAGTATTGTAATTTGATAATAAAGACAAATCTTGATTAATATGATGTGTCTTTTTTTCCATGATTTGGTATTCGGTATTCGGCCGAATAGTACCTATTATTCGGCCGAATACCGAATACCAAACAAAGTGGCCGAATAGGCCGAATACCGAATAGTAGCCGAATATTCGTGGCATGTCTACTTCTAATATTGTGTGGTTGGCATACATTTAGTATGGAAGCTGGAAACATTGAATTTTCGGATAGTTTCAGTTTATTCTGCAACCTATTATTGGTACCATTTGAAAGAGCTCGTGAAGCACTGAAGCACTTTCAGGATCAGTAAACATTTTTTCAATACCTTGTATAGTTTAGAAATAATCGAGTGAGATCACTTATCGTTTCCACCCTGTATTTTGTGAGCTTCTCATTATTATTATAACGATACTTTCTGTTTATGTCCTATTAAAAATTCATGAAACGAGATTTGGCATTATTTTTTGTTATTAGTAACGGTTTGCGACTTATTAAAGTACAAGACTGCCTCTCACTTAACATCAGGTGTTATTGCGGTCTTTTCTTTATTTGTCTCCTGTCACAGAAAAAAAGTTCCTGCCTTGTTCTGTATAAAAAAAATCAAGTATTAAGCATTAAGTTTTTCCTTATAGATGGCGTGGGTTTTATCACCATTGTAGGTAACAGGCGTCTTCTCATGGCCCATGGATATACCTTCTCCCAGACGGCCCTGAACTACTGGTACTGCTCCAAGAAACAGAAAGGCTGCAAGGCGAGGGTCAGCCTGACTGCGGACGAGAAAGAAGTGGCGTCCTGCTGCTTTGAACATGACCATCCCCCGCCTGTGTACAAACGCCTTCAAAGTGGGCTGTATAAAAAGATGTCCAGTTAAGACGAACAAGATGATAATGACGAATCTGGCGCAGCGACCCAAAGTGAGTCTTAGCCTCCGATAGCTAGCAATAACGCCCGTATTCACAAACATTAATATGAGGTCTCACAGTGCGCATGAACGCACAGGGTGACATACGAACCAATCACAGANACTATGAGGTCTCACAGTGCGCAATGCGCCATGATAATGATTGAATAAGAATTTTTTAAAGTATTTTCCTTTTATTTATTTTTCTTTCTTCCCTTCTTCTAAATAAACGACTTTCAAGTGAATGTGACGATTTTTTTTTTGTATATTTCTCAATCTGTTTTGTTGTACTAACAACAACATATCAAGCGAAACACTGGGTTCTTATCTCATTATAATACAAGCTATTTTGCTACGAAAATGTATAGTCTGATGTAGGGTAATCAATATCTTTTCAAATATCTTTTGGACAATCTCACACAGCGCCATCTAGCCCCAACCAAAGTAAGCAATTAATATGCTTGTGTTATGGGTGCTAGCTTAACGGATATACTACTTATATACTTTTTTTTTTAAATACATACATATTATACATAGTAACACCCAGACCCGTCACAGAAATTAAAATTCATCATTTCAATTTCTGCTCGGCCGGAAATCGAACCCGGGACCTCTCGGCATAGTAGTCCGTTCTGAACCACTACACCAAACGGCCGACTCTCAATAAAAGGATATTGTTCATCTTTTTTACAGATACAGAAGTAAAATTCATTCAGTTATCAAAGAAAAAACGCCTGCTGATGGCCAACAAGTATACCTTTGCTCAAACGTCTGCGAGACACTGGTACTGCTCCAAGAGGCTGAAAGGCTGTGAAGCGAGGATCTTCCTCAACAAAGACGAGACTGAAGTGGTGTACAGCAAAAATGACCATAACCATAAACCCCCAGTGTATTGTCAGATGAATTCTGGTTACTACATGAAGATTACCAGTTGATTTGAGACAGTAGACCTTTTCACAGAACATTGTAATAGTTTGGGTCTTGTTGATTCACCAAAAGAATTGCATGCGATTGGATAGAAATATAGAAGAAAACATTTCAATGATATAGATTAAAAAAGTTTTGGAAAGATTTTGTTTTTAATTTTGTTTATCACCTGCTCCTTAAATGTTATTTCTCACATAATATATAAGTTACTTTGTAATATAAGGTTATACCGTTGGTTTTGTGGAAGTTTCAATCTGTAGCTATGACTGTAAAATTCAAAGAACATCAGCTAACATTTCTAAAATTTTCAGAATATTGTGCTGATGCAATCATGGCCATGTCGACACCACGGGGCAACGTGATCCAACTGGGAGGTTACACCTATTCCTTCGTCAACCGCACCAGCAATTACCTCAGNTCAAGGAATACAGTTATGCATTTCTTGTTATTATCTAGTTGCTCTACCACTAACGAACTCATTGCAGAAACTGCATCTTCAGTGGATTTTCCCGGTCTAAAGCCGTACTGACAAGAGGATAGGATGTTGTATTTGTTAAGGTAGTTAAGCAGTCTAGAGTTAAGTAATTTTTCTATAATCTTTGAAATAGCTGGCAAGACGGATATAGGTCTATAGTTAGTTACACTGTCTCTATTCCCAGCCTTGTAAACTGGAGTTATAATTGACTTTTTAAGTGAAGACGGGAAAATTCCCTTGTTAAAACAGAGGTTTGCAAAGTGGGTTATAATCGGTACAACATGAGACCTTATGTGTTTGAGAAAGTTAGTAGGAATATTGTCCCAGCCAGGTGCACTGCTTGACTTAAGCGACATCAGAATACTACCAACCTCATCCTGATCTGTGTCCAATAGGACAAAAGAGTTAGGCTGACTTGGTAAGTCGCGTAAGTAAGTGTTCCGTTCATCATCAGACGTCTGCACGCGTTTAGCCAACTGCTCACCAATATGCGCAAAAAANGTTATTACCGTTGGTTTTGTGGAAGTTTCAATCTGTAGCTATGACTGTAAAATTCAAAGAACATCAGCTAACATTTCTAAAATTTTCAGAATATTGTGCTGATGCAATCATGGCCATGTCGACACCACGGGGCAACGTGATCCAACTGGGAGGTTACACCTATTCCTTCGTCAACCGCACCAGCAATTACCTCAGGTGTTCGAAGAAGATGCGAGGAAAATGCCCAGCCAGGATCAAGATCGATGAGAAAGGATATATACTTTTTGCTGACACCGCGCATAATCATCCACCACCTGACCATATTTATATTAACTGACCAGTCAGTTCTTCAAAAAATAGGGATAGGATAGGGTCAGATCCCACTGTCATTATGTGTCAAACTTTTTCTAATTTACAGTTGTTCGACACTAAACCGTCCTAGCTATGACATTGTCAGAAGGGCGCTACTATCAATACTTAGGTTTTTAGTTAATTTTTTTGCCATTTGACGTTTCAGAAGCGTTCAACTATAACTGTCATTTCTTCATCATCAAAACTATAGTTTCTATCGCCAGATAGCTTTCATCTGTCTCAAATACAAAATCTTTAAGTGGCTTTAATGTCAATTTTATCTCACTGATAAAAATTATCTGACGATCGAAAAATAGATTAGGTACCTACGGGTCATTTATTACCTAATTGTTGTATTATTGGTAGGTCTGTAAAGCAGGCATTGTCGTTAATATTTTGTATTAAATGTAATTTGTATTATATAATAAGTAGTAATTGTGGTAACTCATTGACATTGTACAAGTATGATCATGAAAACTTGATTTTCGTGTTGAATAAAGTTAGCGTGGTAGGTAAATTAAGTTTGCGTAAATATTTTTTGGTTTCAACTTCAGCTTTTGCACTTTCACTTTTTTTTTTTAATAATAACAACGCCTGTATTTAGATTTTATAAACATTTATAGGATTGGCGGAATGCGCATGTTTTAATTCTTAAGGCATTAAATAAATTAAATTATTATTGATGTTTTATTTTACCCTAGCAAAATGTATTCTTATGAATGTGGAGCTCAACTAATCCTGAAATATCACGGGAAGGTCTTGAAGGTCCTCGGGGAACATAACCACGAACATCCCTGGTAGGTAGAAGATTAGCTAATAGACTTTATAAAAAAAACGTTAATATTTTATTAGGTTAATATTTAATTATTTTTGTTAGGTTCATAATAAAGATAAAAAAGTTGATAAGTGCTGTTTATTATTTTTAACTTTTCCACTGCGAAAAGCTAAGCTATTGAGTGACTGGAATCTGCGTTGACGTCAATATCTTTTTTGAAAAAAAGAAAAGAATAGAATTTTTTCTAAAAGAAGCTACGATAAAATCTTATCGAGGTTTATCAATTTTAGATGATAAGCCCATAATAATAATGTTTATTGTCTATAAGGTAAGAAAACGCGGCCAAATTCATTTTCCAAAAATACTGAGACGAAGAAAACATCAACTAATTGTTTAATAAGACGGTTGTTGTTATTTCTATCCATAAAAATATAGGAGAAATATCTACCAATGGCAGCATGAATTCTCTGGTGGGTCATAAAAAGCTTAGTGGTTAAAATATCTATTCTAGAATGAGTTTGAGTTTCCTCTTTAAATTGACATTATTATTCTTCCACAGATCAATTTTTCCGTCTCAAAACTCTCTATGGTAAAAATATATTCTGGTTCCGAGGATACACCTATTCATATCTGGGAAAATCCAAATTTCTTCTGCGGTGTTCTAGAAAGTTCCGCGGTCAATGTGGAGCCACACTGAGAATAGACAAATATGACAATGTCATTAAAATAACAAATCAACATAACCACCCACCACCTCGAGGTATAGTCACAGACAAAGGGCTGTATATTCCATAGCATTTAAGAGATTTATGTGTACAAACTACAACCAAAGCCTACGTGTAAATTCAAATTCAAATTTATTTATTTGCCAGAAACAGGCAACATAATGATGCAAGTGTGATAATAAATTAAAAGAAAATAAAGTTAAAAAAAATGGATTAAGAAGTTTTTTTACCTTTCTGATCCAATTTATTTCAGATAGTGTCATCCACGAAGACACGCTCCACCATTCGTCCTAATCGTTTATAGTTTAGTATGCATGCTACCGCTAATGTTTGAGTGTTATCGGTACCACTAAGACTAGGCGCAGACCACCGATTTTTAGTTGGCCGATAGTTGGGCCCGATTTTAATTTGTATGAAGAATCAGCCAAATCAAATCGGTGTAATGTGCGCACTTCCATATATTGCCCATACTGATCAACTGCCCGACTAAACTATCGGACGAAGAATAATCTATGGTCTGCGCCTAGGCTAAGAAGTGACCCGATATCGATTAAGAAGTGAGCCACGTTTTAGAATGTACCTTGTTTTTATACGGCTATGGTGAGAAATGAAAATGAAATTATAAATATTTGCCAGATCAAGTAGTACAAAATAAAAGACAGATCTCCACACTACGCATTGCCTGTCATGTGGAGGAAGGAATCACGATTTACAAGTAGTATTAGAACGACTAAGCAGAAGTGCAATATAAGGATACAATAAATCAAAAGATAGGAAAGGAAATTAGGAATTGTTGAGTGTGTGCATATTCTGCTTGTATATAAAAGTGTAGATGTGTTGTGTGTGTGAAATAAACGATATTGTATTATAATTTTTATTGAGGTTACATAACATTGTCATTACTTTTATTCCCAGATGAACTTCAACGTCTTACAACTTGCAATGGAAAAAATATCTTTTGGTTCCGAGGATACACCTTTTCATGTCTGGGAAAATCCAAAACTCTTCTGCGGTGTTCTAGAGCGTTCCGCGGTCATTGCAAAGCCCAACTGAGAATAGACGAACATGACAATGTCATTAAAATAATGAATGACCATAATCACCCAATACCTCAAGGTATCCTTACAGCCAACGGGCTGTATATACCATAGTATTTAAGATATAACTGTGTGTATGTTTTGTGGTGTATGTTTGTTGTATTGTGAATTAAGATTCTTTCACTATTGGTGAACATTAAAACAAAAGAAAATAAATTTTAAAATGAATTAAAAAGTTTTAATACTAGAGACCGGATTATATGCAACATAAAAAGCTTATTATATTGTACTTGTTGGAGAGTTAGTAATAAAAAGAGAGCACAAAAACAAAATTAATCTAAAAAAGAAAGAATATTAAGTATAATTAAAATAAAATTTTATTATATTATGACACGTGGTACTTACTTCCATCCCAACAGTTACATTCGGTAGGTATTTATAAATACATAGATGGTTACTTTAAGATGTCGTCGGCTCACCTTGGATGGATTTTCGTTGCATTTTCTGGTACGTGGCCTCCACTCCAGAACCTTGCTGCCCCATCGGCTGTCATTTATTTATTATTATTCAAACATCTTAAAAGCTAACAGAATACATTCCAAAGGTTATCTTGCATGTCAAATTGTCAATATAATGATAATTAGATAACAAAGTATTAACATTCTGCGAACTATGTGCTCTGCCCATTGGCACTTCAGCTTACTAATCCGTCGGGCTATGTCAGGCCATTGCAGGCCGCTACCATCCGGTCGAGATAGAAATCATTGGAGGAGGCCTATGTTCAGCAGCGGATGTCCTGCTGCTGAAATGATGGTGATGACTTTAACTTGTAACATTTGTATTCACTTTCAGACATCCTGTCGTTTTTGCCTACAAACAATGGTCAGTTTGTCATAATGTTCCAAAACTACACTTTTTCCTACCACGGCCCAACACGGCGATATCTGCGCTGCTCGAAGGGCTCGCAGGGCATCTGTGGAGTGAGGATCAGAGTGGATCCTGAGAGTGGAAAGGTCCTTCGAATTAAGGGGGTGCACAACCACATGCCACCGAAATACATAAAAAGTTTTGATGGATTTTATAAAAAAGTTTAAACAAAATAAAAATAAAAATATTGTTGATATTGCCCGTCTTTATTTCAATGGTTTCCACAATTTGAGGTTGCAT